ACACCCTCCATGGTCACAGATGGGTCCTCTTTATACTGCACATGCGCACCGCAGTCCTTTTTATTCCAAAGAGAACACATTTTATGTACAGAAAAACATCTGAAATTGTAATTTTCTTGTGTGCTTTGTGTATGTGAGGGTCAGGCTGTGGTTTTTAGTCTTGCTTGCAAAATAGAAAGGGGTCACGTTTCCTAAATTCAAAACATTATTTTTCCGTTTTGGAACCCATTCTACGGTTCTGTTATTACGAAACAAAATTTGAGTCCTGCTGGTTTTTTGATCCCTGCATCTCGCTCGGCAGGTTTTGATTTATAAACATGCTGAGATAGTATTTTGGAATGTGTCGGTGATGGGCAGAACTGATGAGCCAGTGGGTTTTGGTTTTAGTCCAGCTGGAGTGCTTGTTGGTAAGCTGGAAGGACATATTCAGCTGGCAGTTCAGCCTTATATTGGTGGATATAGTGATGCTTAGATAGCTGCAATGCTGGGCATAAAGCTGACATGTATTTCTCTGTTAGTTAGGATAAAGACTATAATACCCTAAACGTCCACTCCCTAATGACTGTAGACCACTATATAGACACATAGCTTAAAGCTGAACTCCGGGATAAGCAAACATTGTCTGACTACAAGAATCATGTGTATTATTTGTGTATTTCCTCCAGATCTGTGCAGTAATCCAGTGTGAGACTTGGAGCTTCCTGTATTGAAGACCGGTCACTGCTGTTCTCTCTCCTTGTGCAGGGTGACTGGTCTTGTCTCTGCCCCTCCTGTAATAAAGACCGGTCACTGCTGCTCTTGTTGGATCTGCCCCCATGTAGTTTTCTGCAGGCAGCCTGTAATGGGTGGGACTACTGGGTCCCTGCCACAGCTCTGCTCTGCATAAGTTTTGTGCAGTGCAGCATTGTAATGATGTCAGTGCTATTTCTATATGGTAATATTTGGGTTTGAAAGTAGATTTATTTAATTTGCATTTATTAAGGCATATAGATTGAATTTTATATGGCTGGAATTCAGTTTTAAAAGAACCCTTTCAGGCTAGAACTATAGGAGCCACTATTGCTGACTTTTTGAAGGTAAAAGCTCTGGGGGATTAAACTCTATCTTTGCTTCACTACAAGTGCTTGTGATGTGTTCTGTAGTCCACAGAGGTGAACTAGGACAGGAAGTGTTAGGACTGATAACACTGAAGAGAGCACAAGAAGGCTCCTTTCACACCTACGCATTGTGTCCCTCAAAGCTAAGCATAACAAAACGCTCAAGACAAGGAATCCCATTGATTTCTATGGTCCCTGTTCACTCCTTAGCGTTTTGTCGCAAGCAGAAAAATGCCTGTACCTGGAAAAAGTACATGAGCTACTTTTTGGCAGATTACAGCACTTTTTGGTCCCATAGACTTCAATAGAAAATGTGCGTTTCAAGCGTTTCAAATGTTTTGTCATGAATTATGTCGCACAAAGTTTCCCATTGAAGTCTATGGGACCAGAAAGCTCTGCAATCTGCCAAAAAAGTAGCTTGCAGTACCAAAAAGTAACTTGCGGTACTGCCCACCTAAAAGCTAACATGGTGGCCTCTTGGGTTTGTACACATGCCGTGGCCGCGATGCTTTGCATTGTGGCAAATTTTATACAGCATGTCGTGTTTGTCAGGCAGTGCTGCTTGCCAAAACGTGACCAATGGGACTGCGCCAACCACTTGGCATGGAGTTGCAGCGCGGTATTGCAATGTAAAATCCCTCCAGGAAAAACGAAAGGCATTCAGAAGGCTGCAGTATATTACATTTACATCCAATCAGGTAGGTCATTGCAGTACAATGGTAAATCTAAAGGATATTATACAATCATTGTGGCCGACTTTAGACTGGAAGCTGCTAGGGTATTATTATTATTTCATAGTATTTATATAGCGCCAACAGTTTGCACAGCGCTTTACAATATAAGGAAGACATTACAATCACAATTCCAGACAAGATTGTACGGAGGGCAGGGTAGGATCCCTCTT